GTATATGTGTGTATGCATACATTTATATATATGCGTTCACGTGTAAATCTTTCACGTGAGTTTGGTGAACTGAAATAACAATTCTTTAAATCATATAGGATATGAAAGATATCTACCATACACTGTGACTGTTGAAAGGCATGTAATAACATCAATACGTACGGTTTCATTTATCATACGGTAAATCATAAAGCACATTTCATAGANAAGGCTTTGCTCCCTCTGTCTGCACGCTTACAATACGAACAAAATATACATGGTGTCACAAAATAAGAGTGCATTTATAAAGCTTGTTTTGATTATAACTTTTTAACAAACAACGATCAACAGCCGTATCTTTTTGAGTGCTGTTCAGAGAAGTGTTCTGACAACATATGTCAAAGTCATTGACCTACAATGGTGCTCCGTTTTTGTAAATATTTACTTCATATATTAAAAGCAGTATAATTGTTTGTTAGAAATAGCGCAACTTTATATGTACCTAATCTGTTTGTATTAAAAGTTATCTCTGCGCTATAACTGCTTTGAACTTCATGTGCAGTTACTCGTGCTGTGTAAGATGCATATGGATGTAAATCTGAGAATGTAATTTCCGGTTTGATTGTAACGTGTTCAATAGGTGGTACTACTGGTGTAGGTAAATTTAAATCTACACAACCATAGTACAAAATAATCTAAAAAGAGGAAACATGAATACGATAAATAGCATTATTAATAGCTTCCTTATTTAAATAATGCAATTAAATCTTTAGTTTTATGTAAAAAAATCAGGAGAAATATTGTACAATTTTAAGAAAGTCGAAAAAATCGTTTCTATTACCTATACTCTCTACAATGTATGTTACGTTANCAATAAATTTGTAAAGGAGCAATTGTAAAAGAAAACATTAAATTCTACTATACCACACACTTCATCTCTTCTGTAATTTAGCGCTAAAAACAATGACACTTGGCCAAGAGCACTTCAATATCAAGCTACTTTGAGACCTTGATGAACTAAACTGATGAAATGTTCACGAAACGTAAGTACAAAATTGACACTACCGCGCGGTTCACACCCAATAGTTATTTTCAGACATTAATGCAACACACAGAGGCATCAAATATCAGAAAGATACTTTATCAGTATATTATAACTTGGAAAAATAAGAACAAGCAGCTTAAACGATATACACCCTACAACATCTTGAACAGAATTTCTATAATATAATTGACTGATACAATAAAAGGTATAGAAACAATATTGTATTATTTAATTATAATATAACAAAAATATAACGCGTCTACGAAACACTCGAAGTAATATCTAGAAAACAAAGATGATTACATATATGTCGATATTTGAACACATATAACTACAAGTTACATAAAGTTACCTTTAATGTTATTTTGTACAGCACTATGGTTAAGTGATCCGGAGAGTTCCATTTCAAAGTGACTTGTGTGCTCGAGTTTGCAACATATTGAATATCTAATACTTTTGTTGAAACTAATGATATTTATAAAATACAGATATTAGAAAAACATACTTATAATATATGAAATATATGTTTGTAAAAGTTGTTTAGTGTATTTTAGCAATCATAAAAACTTACCGCTTCGTAATGTACGAATTTGAGTAAGGAACAGGTAATTCCTATGTTTTATGATTGTATGAGCAAGTCGCGGATGAATTATAATTACGTTAAAAAGAGTATTTGATGGTAAATGTGACACTTCATGGGGAAAAGTGATAACTGTTGAGGTACTAATATTCTCGCCTGTATTTTCATTTTGGAGAGTTACATAATACCAATGTACTGGACATGAAAATACTTGCTAGTATACAAAAAAAATCAAATCTATAATAATTTGATACATGCAACATTTAATACATTCTCCATTGAATAGAAAATTACTGTTAGATAAATAGCAAAATATGTACGTACATTCGAAGTGTTTTGCCAATCAATAATTATACTGTTTTCTGTAGGCAGTATGTTAAAAGTTTGTACCGCTACATAACAGACCAAAAAAACATCCAATTAGTATGAAAGGGAATACATAATATACAAGAGAGTTAATAAAACTGTGTATTATGATAATATCTAATACTCAATAGTGTGATTACATATTTCTTTTTGTACTACATGTTTTTTTCTATATGCAGGTGATACAATTGGAAACAAAAATAATAATTTCATTGTTATCATATTAGTTATGTTATGTCCTGGACTTTACGATCTCTTTCTGGTTGCAACAAGACATAAAGTAGCTTTAAGATTTGCGCTTTAGAAGTAATTTTAAGCAGCAATCTTTGAGCAGAGAATAGAGGACCCATTGATTTCAGAAAAACACACCGGTATCGCAAATTTTATAAACAAGTCTGACTGAAGAAATTGAAACTAATCATATCGACTTTCAAAAAGATTCCGATTAATTAATCAACAATCCGCCGAAATGTTGTGTTCGCAAATAAATCGCGAATATAAACTTAGATAATTTAAACAGTCCGCTAATCTCGGAACGGAATGATATGGGCATCGAAATAAACAGAATATTGCACGTATGTACATATAATAAAGTTTAAACATTAAATGAGTCAGAAAAATCGACTGTCAGTCCTTTTGCCTAATCGGATTAGCAAATGAGAGATCTAACTTTTAATTGGTGAAGAGTAGAAAAGTAAAAGTCTAATAACGAGAGGCAAAAATCGGGAGGGTTAACGCCACGAGCTCATCATATATAAGGTGCTAGAACATCGGAGCGAATTCATTAATTCTTTACCAGATTCCCACCATTCATTACCAGATTACCAGAAGTACCGTTACTATCATTATCGCGATACAAAAGTTCAGCTCTAGTTGTTTTACTGGCGCGGTCAAAGATTAACTCATCAATTCGTCAGTTCATTCTGTCAGTTTAATTTAAAATCAGGTTGGTAGTACGAAAAGATACGCGCTCCTTTTGTTCCGTCCGGAATGCTGCGAGAATTCGATCCTCTCGACTGTTGCGGTTCTGAATTTGACATCGGTTTCGCCGCCGCGAACGCGAGTGAGCGTCGTGACTTGTGATCGCTCCCGTCAGAAAAGACAAGCAACTCATCTCAGCTGAGGTTAACCGACTGACTCCTGACTCTTGGCCGAAGCGCATTGATCTCTCATTTCGAGATTCTATTGCGGACAACAAGTAGTGAGTGCTAACTAATATAGAAAATTCGCAAAGAAATTTAGAGATTTCCACGCGCACATTTAAATTTTTCTTTTAATAAACGGTTAATATTTGGAAGAAAGAGATTAAAGTTAGTAGTTTATTAATAACTGCAGTTTTTCTCTTTAGCTTTCCTCTTGCCGGATTATCGCGGTGTCAAACCGCTCCAAACTGCTGCCGGTTTTCCTTGTCATCGGATTAGCGCTTCGCGACGTTCAGTCGTTCCGAACCGTTACCGATTTTTCCAATCACCACTGTCAAACCTTATGCAGTAGCAATCTACATGTGATTGACATACCGCTCTTAAAATCAACCGTGATTCTAATAAACGTGTGCAATTACAAATACCAATAACTTTCATTGAAGTGGACCCGAAAATTTAAATCACGGGACGCTACCTTGAAACGACGCGATATCAGAAATCGAACTTTGCGGCGGAAAGCCGCTGCTTGTCGAGCGAGCGAACCGAAACGGACCAACTCTCTTCTATCCGACGATAGTTTATGTAGCAACGGTGCTTATTTAAATAGAAAATAAAATATTAAAAACACCAATAATAATATTAATAATGAACATACGGAAATAAGAAACAGTGATTATGTACATTCACGCGCATACACATACTCACATTATCCGTATTTGCGTAAGACTATTTTGATACAATTTAAATATTCTTTTGTTAAATAAAAATGATTTATACGCTTGCAAAATAAAGAAACGGTTTCATTTAATTAAACTTTGGATCTTTATCCTAAACATTTATTCCTGTAATCTCATTACGCGATCACCAGGTCCCAGGTAATTTAGACTTACGTCTAAGACCTAAAAAAGGACCGACGAGTGAAAAGACGTTAGACGAGTAATATCGGCACACCCGTTAACTTGAAAGTCTACGTCGTTAAAAACAGTCTCGCTCGATCCGCATGCTTGAATTTTCTTATTAGGTTAGTGTGTCGGGATATAGTACACAAAAGTGTCGTGTCTCAGTTGCGTTTCTCCGCAAGGGCTCGTCCGTAACCAAAAGTCAGAACGTAACAGTTACTATACGCATATTTATAAGGAAATATAAAAATATACATATAAAACTTTGTGTGGCAGATCTTTCAAGTGTGCACAGAACTAAAACCTACAGCATTTGATAAAATTTAAACCGTATATATTTATTTCTAAGTTTTCGTTGAAATTGAGGCTGAT